GCAAAAAAGCGCCGCATACCAGCAGCAAACCAAGCAGTTGTGGTGCGCTTTGTGGTGTCTGCGATCTTATGCGGAACGAGTGGCATGTTGCAGACTCTTTGCTACTTGTGCTGTCAATATTGTTACCGATCGTCGACTGCTCCAACCGCAATTGTAGAAATAAAAGTAAAATGATAGCATAAACCAAAATTAATCTCACAGATACGAACGAATCACAATATATATTGTATTTTATCAAAAAGTGAACTTACATTTGTGGTTTCCATAATGGCAGTGGCATGACTTTTTATAAGGTTATATTTTCAATGAAGTTGGTACTGTTTTTTGCGGTCTTTGACCGCAGCTTTATAAAATCAAAATTATTTTATTTGCAGAACTTAATTTCAATTGTCTAGCGAAATTCATCACAGGTTTTATGCCTTTAATGTTCACTTTCAGAAATTATTTTTAGAATTAAATATGAGAAATGGTTTGGTAAAATTTTATATTAACTTCAATAATTAAACATTAATAATGAAAAGAAAAAGTTTAATTAAAAATTGATTTACGAAAATTGAAATATATGAAAAATCTTAATCTTTCTAATATTTATATATAAAAAATCTTTATTGTAAGTAATATTATACATATACATATTATTACTATCACATTTGGCTGCACTATCTATATTGGGACTTGACCTGTATCAGAATTTATCTTCAGTCATTCTTATAATCACAATAGTCCACCAATTTTTCAGAAATATGTACAATGTATCATCGTCGACACAATCTATAGTTCTATAGTCGTAGTTCTACCGCATTACAATCTTAACAAGACATAGTTGATAAAATCTAACAACATTAGTCGTACTCTTCCACGCTAGAATCTAAATAAATCATTGCTAACAATAAATTTTATATTTACTAAGTCTATCTTAGTCTGATTATGTGACCGATAGATATTACTTTTTCAATTTATGTTGTAGTTACAATATCTATTTTCTTATATGAACTTTATAACCCATCGCTGTATCGATGTCTATATATTCTGCTTTCATACGCACACCACTACTGAATTTCTCTCAAACGATTTTCAGGAATATATTTAATAGTAACATGCCATTAAATGAGTGCACTTCTCATCTGCGTTCTTCAGAATTACCCTGGTTCGATGAAAATAAACTTTTGTTTTTTGAAGTCTTAAAATCTGATGTCAGATGTTTAGTAGGATGCTTGGGTTACTAGAATGCAATCGGTACAATCGATTTTCTTGCTTATGTCATTTCCCAAGCATGTATTTGGTACCAGAGCACTAATAGAATAAACCAAATTTTAAAATTTATATTATGAAAATCATGAGATTTTTTAAAATTACTTGAATCAAATATCGCTTTACACAATATATATTTATAATTGTCATGCTTAATCTCTTTATTCGAAGTCTATTGCAGCACTACTTCTATACTAAATACCTACTTGCTCCATTTAGGTGTTGTTATACTGATACTGTATACTGATGTATTGGATGTATGATTACTTATGTATTCTTGTAGGATATATATTTAGTAGTATTTAATATTACTACTTCAAGTAGTATTTAGTAGATATTTAATAGTGCTATGTGGTCACCCTAAAATTTTATTTAACTGAAAAATTAAATTTATAATTTAAAAATTAGCTCACTATTACTTTTTTTACTATTTCTGAAAATTCTTGTCTTACAACATAAAAATTTTAATTTTAATTAATTAATAAAATAATTTGCTCAACCTTTATTTTTATAACTTTAGAACTGAAAACATGTACCCATTCTCTAAGTGATAAAGGTAATATGTGTCCTATCTGTGGTGTACACTACGGGTAGTATATCGTTGGCATAACCAGTTATGTTTTACTGTATTAGTTGTATATTATATTTTCCAATCTATATCATAGCTCTTCTTCTTCTGTTATACAAACATTTTATCAGACTATTTACGCACTTTTGTTGACTACCCGTACTTTCTTATTAAAACACGATAACTGAACTGCATACGATGACTGCTCATATGATATCCTGGTAGTGTGCATTATAGATTTGAATACTCTTACTTTTTAGGCTTATATTATTTGTACATAATTTGTCAATTGTACATTTATCTACGACAAATAATTTAGTATTTACCTTATCCATTCATAGAATGAGAGGCGCAGCTCTTAGAAAATCACCTTTCTTAAACCCTTTTTAATGAGTTAGATAATCAAAATAACACAAAAATATTTGTAATCTAGAAACAATTTTGAACATCTATCAAAAAAAAACAATTTATGCATTTTTTTATATAAGAAGTTAAATAATACGGAATAGAAATAATTTGCAAAAATAACTTCAAAATAATTTAAAATATGTGAAAAAAAATTTCTAATAAGAATTTATCTAATAAAGTCTAAAATATAAACATTAATCCTCAAACTACACCTTTGTACATCACTCTGCCCATTATCGTCTGCTCCTGTTTTTGTGGTCATGCCAATTTAATTCTATTTCTCAAGAAAAATTTTATTTTACTTAACTCTTGAGCGGTCACTTTGTGGACTTAACGTATAATTGTATTTGCTTGTCATAAGACCCCCATGAAGTACATAAATTGTGAATTGTCGGAACTTGTGGTTAAAATTGATGTTGATGGCTTGTTGAGTTGACAGCAATAATTATGCTGCATCAAATCGTGCGTTTTGTTATATGCGCCATAATAGCTTAAATTGTTACTTATTGTGGTTGCAATTGATCAACATTTCTGGCAGCCACCACAAACCAGTTTAAGATGATTCTTCATGGGAACCTCTGCAGCGAAATGTTGCAGTCCTCTACTGTCACTAAAATGTTGGATAATACAGCATCTTACAATATTTACAATTTCATACTATCATAAATACTTCAAAATTTTGACTTGCAACCACAACAACTCAAAACCTTATTTATCTTAGATTTTCGTTTAGCGTATATGGCGACTGACACCTGAAATACTTAAACCGTTCAAAGTAATAACACCGCTAAGTCGTCAGTAACACTTGGACAATAAAAATTTGAAATATTCATACTAATACACAATACAAAATAGCTAAGCAGATACATATGTATGTATAGATAAACAATCAACCAAAAATATCTAAAACTCAACAGGCAACAAAAATTTTTCAAGTTGAGTTTTGCTCTGAATCACAATTAATAAACTGTGAAATTCACTTTAATTGCATCTTCAATAAAATGAAATTCTTTCGAGTGCTACTCATGAACGAAAGTACAAAACTCTTCCATAAGCTGGAGCTAATGCCAAGAGTTCTGCCAATTTGTACGATTTCAAGTGCAATTACAACGAATTTAAGTACTTCATGAGATAAAAGTGCGCTCCACTTGAGTAATCCGTAAATTAAATGGAAAATTAAATTAATCATTATTTGCCTCAAGATGAATCAAATAAACAAAAAATTATTATTGATGATAATACCGCTTCCAGATACAAGTAGAAAAATTAAACAGAAAATTTTCTTTGCATGGAGGTTATTGCTGTTTATAATTATTTTTACCATTTTTATTGGTTTAAATTAAATTAATTAAATAATTTAGTTAATATATAAATCGGTTTATATATTTCAATAATCTATAGTAAATATTAAATTTAATATTTAAAATAACTGTATCACATAGGTAAACATCAGCATCGATGAGCTTTGAAAGCAGATGAACTATTGAATTGCAATAAACATAACTTTTAGTTAATAATTTTATATTGTGTTATAAAAACAAAAAACATAAAGTAGATAATTCGTTTCAAAAACAGCTTCTAATTAGTTCAGTTAGTTGGAGTAGGTTTGTAGTAATAAGAAGCCTGCTAACCTCTTCGTTTACATGCCTCTGGAACCGCTTAGAATAAGTTTCAACTTGTTGAGGCCGTAGTCTTAACATCTAATATCGACATAGTAAAGGTTCCATAAGGTGTTAACAGCATTTTGGAAAATTTTAGAAAAGTATAGAAATGTAAGAATTAAAAATATAAATATAATTAATTATTTCAATTATTCTGTAACTGATTTATGATTTTGTTCAAATGTAACACAGCAAATGTATTTGTTAATGACCTTTTACAGCAAATTAACAAAAACTCCAAAATTCCAACATACGAGTCAAGTACAGGAGTCAAGGTCAGTTGGCTAATGAATGCTGACTCTGAATTTCGCATTTGGCAGGGTACGTATTCAACCATTGGTACTTGTAGTCTCAAAATATTATTTCCTTATAATAAATATAAAAAATAATTCCAACACTACTAATGTTGAGTATTTGGCAATACTCGAAATACCTCTTATTAATTACTATTAATTAAATTAAATAAAAAAAATAATTTTGTTCTTGTAGTTTACTACTTTTTGAGAACTTTCTAATGAAACTTTTCTTTCAATTTCGATTATATTTATTATAAAAATACTTATTAAATATTTATAATATTTATTAAGTGTCACAGGCCCACAAATGTGTAGCATAAGACCATAGACTAGATTGAATAGAAATAGCGACCTTGTGCCCAAAGCCCACTTAAACTCAAATAATATTCCGTTGTATTACCACAGATCTATAGGAGACCATATTAGCTTTAGAATTTGCTTGTAAATTATATTCTTATTATATTATATACGGACTGATCGGGACAGTTTTTTTTTACAACCTTTAGTTTGAATTTTAATTTTTTAATTTTATTAATTTTATTTTTATGTGCAAAATTTTTTTTCGAATTAAAATGCATATTCCTAATCTTTCTTTATTAAATACTTTAAGGAACTGTCGTAGTGCTTAATGGTATTATGGGAAGAAGTAAAATAAGTAATAAAAAGTTTTTTAATTTAATTTCAAACTTAACCAAGTAAAACT